ACTATGTCTTATGTCTTTTTGAAATACAATAGTCAACTTCGAATTATCCCGAATAAATTGTTAGCAAGCGGCAGAATAAATTTGACACAAATAGAAACAATCTGTGTTTCTATGTCGTCCAAAGCAAAAGTAACTTTTCATCAAATCTTGGTCACAGCTAGGAATATCGTCAAATATTATAATGGGATAATCTCGAATATTCTCTGGTGCAATTATGTCAATAATGTCCTCAGATATGAATATTTTGACTGATGGAGTGATTAGAATACGAATAAATATTTTCGAAACGGATACCATTCGGATGTTCAATCAAGGATATGATTACATTTATTTTTATCGATCCGCTAGATCCTACTAGTAAACCTCTTTTTGACTGGCCACCGAACAAAATTTCGTGTTTCCTTAATTAACTCTCGTGAGCGATTTCATCATGATTTGTGATTGGTAAAGAGAATGTCTGCTTTTGAATCTTCATTATGCAGGCACATCCATAGAACTGACACTACCGAACATGTTCCAGTTCTATATATAAAGGAATTCATATAGCAAATCAGTTATCATTCAACCGACAGTGTTCTGAACATTATAAAATGAAACGAAGGAATAACTCAGTCAGTCGTTGTCGAAGCGTGAATCGGAAAGGTCGAGGACTCCTCAATACTCTAATTGATGAGCTTCCAATAGAACTTCATGTGCCAGAATATAATTATTGTGGACCTGGGACTGAACTTGAAAAAAGACTACTAAGAGACGATGAAGGTGTACACGAACTAGATGAGGCTTGCAAACAACACGATATAGCTTATTCGAATTTCAAAGACATACAACATAGAAATAATGCTGATAGGTGTCTGGCCGAAGTAGCTGCACAGCGTTTCAAGGCATCTGATGCTGGTGTGGGTGACAAAATCGCAGCATTAGGGGTTACGGGAGCTATGAAATTGAAGAGCAAGATGGGTATGGGGCTGAAACGGGAAAAGAAGGTATCACGGAAGAAAAAAGGTGGTGCTTTGAATCTATTGGCCAAGCGACCTACGAAAAAAACTAAAAAACGGAGAATCATTCCAGCGCCTAAAATTGGAGGATTTCTACCATTTTTACTCCCACTTCTAGGAGCACTTGGAGCAGTAGGTGAAGGTGCCGAGGGTATCGCCAAAGCGGTTAATGATGCGTAAGCTGATCAGGAACGACTAGCTGAAGAACAGCGACATAATCGAGAAATGAAGAAGGCAGCTACTGGAAAAGGGCTATATTTGAGACCATATAAGGGCTATGGAATGTATTTGAAGCCAAACGCAAAAAACTCCCGATGAAGCTACCTCGCCGACCACTGACTAATATCGACTTGCGCAAATATGTGAAAATCCTCAAAATACCATACTTTAGGGGAATTTTCATAAGAGATACCCTTCCTGAAATAATAAGAAAAAACGAGTCTGCAATCTTGAATCTATATTCGAATGTAGGTGAAGGAACACATTGGACTGCTTATATTGAGCGCGATAATGAAATAGTTCATTTCAATAGTTATGGAGATTCATCTTCACCTTCAGAACTGTTTCAATTTTTCTCAAGCGACGGTGGCAACAATAATATTATGTATAATTATGATTCAGTGCAATCATTCAATTCCTATCAATGTGGGCAACATTGTTTACTTTTTTTATATAACCAGAATTTGTAAAATGGAGCGTCATTTGAAATTGAACTTTCAGTGAAACAATATGTCTTTGACTTCTACTTTGAGTGGCTGTTCATCGATTCTCACTTACGATTTTAATCCTCCAATATATTCGAATGATGAAAACGAATATGAAATTGGGTTAGCTGATTTTGACAGTTTCAACTCAATACCAAATATTGATAATACGAATAATATCTTCGTTTGGGGTGAGAACGATAGATATAGATTTGAAATTCCTACTGGATCATATGAAATTGATGATCTAGCAAACGTTATTCAGATTGCTATGAATGATAAAGACAACCAAGCAGTTCTTCGAATTACACCCGATTTGAATACTTCCAAGGTGACTATAAAAACTAATCGTCGAATCAATTTTGGAGTGGACAACACAATTGGATCACTACTTGGATTCAGGAAACAAATGTTGAATGCGAATAAAGAAGTATTTCGGACCACCAGGTCAAGATTCTCAACGTCAATACTATCTGTGTAAAATGTAACTTGGCCATCAGAAGCTATTTAAATGGTGAACCAGTTCATTTAATTCATCAGTTCAATGCCAAAGTCCCCACCGGATACAAGATCATCGAATCACCTGTTACGATCCTGTATTATCCAGTTTCCGTGGAAACTATCAACAATATAACTGTAAAAATTATTGATCAATCAGGAAATATCATAGATTTCCGTGAAGGAGCAATCACCGTTTGACTTCACCTTCGAAAGAAGGATCTATAATCATGGCGTTCCACAAGGATCAATTTTGGCACCAACATTATTCCTGCTTTATATAAATGATCTGTTGGGAGTAACAACTTGCCCCATCCACAGCTTCGCAGATGATAGTACCCTCCATACTGCGTTCTCTTCCAGAATACCCATTCCTTCACAGGAAACTAAGAACTCACGGCGCAGGCAGGTCAATGCTGTCAATGAAGATCTTGCTGAAATCACAGCCTGGGGAACAAACAACCTAGTTGAATTCAACGCCAGCAAAACTCAAGCCTGCATTTTCTCTAGAAAGGCGGAACCCAGTATGCCCGTTATTGTAATGTCTGGCTCCACCATCCCCACCAAGCCCACCATATCTATACTCGGTATTTCCATCAGCAACACTCTCTCATGGGATAATCATGTCAGATCCATCGCAAAAGCTGCTTCACAAAAACTCGGATTCTTGTTCCGTGCGAAAAGCTACTTCACACCTCAACAGCTTCTCATGATCTACAAAGCGCAGATACGGCCTGTTCTAGAATACTGTTCACACATATGGGGTTCAGCACCAAAACATACGCTGATGCTCTTAGATTCCATCCAGAGAAGAGCCATTCGCCTGGTGGGTGACGCCACACTCACTCACCCTTTGACATCATTGGAACACCGTAGAAAGGGCGGCGACCTTTCACTTTTCTATCGATACTTCCACGGGAAATGTTCTTCGGAAATCTCTGCTATCATCCCTTCACTAGCAATACCAATCAGACGAACTAGACAAGTCCAGTCAGCACATCCTTTCGTTGTCAACCTCGAAAGATGTCGAACAGCACTTTATCAAGACTTCTTCATCCATAGAACGGCTAGGCTCTAGAATTCATTGCCTGTGGAAGTATTCCCAACAACATATAATCTCCAAAAGTTAAAAAAAAATCCAATACCTACCTCCTGTCCCTTTCCTCCCAAGGAACGCACGATGTTCTTTGAACATTACAGGGATTCCCTTTCGTGCGCTCCAAGCGATAAAAAAAAAATGGAGTGGAGATTTATCCATCCAACACCGATTTACTCCCCTGAACAATACTATAAAAGACATGACGATGAAAAGAAACGTACTAGTATGAAGAAGACCTCCGGAATATTAACATCAAAAAATCGTCAGTTTTTGATATCTCTTGGATTTGTAGTTTTGAAATAATGGAATTATTGAATATCACTGGTCAACCTTTCAGCGACACTACAATTGAAGACAATCAATTTTATACATATCAGTCTCACATCGCTGAAAACCTCAATTATAACGACGAGATGAGAGTGCCAATTGCTGACCTTGAAGCATTCACTTTGCCTTGTAACAGTTATTCATACATATAAGGTACTCTCCTAGATGATAAAAATGCCGTTACAACGGAACTGAAATTCATTAATAATGCAATAGCATTCCTTCTCCGAGAACTTCAATATGAATTGAACGGTATTGTGATTGATTCAGTAGGAAATTTGGGATTGACATCAACATTGAAAAATTATTTATCACTAAATGAAAACGAAAGCGTCTTTATGCAAAATGCTGGGTGGTTCCCAAAAATATCGAACCAAGAAAAAAATCTGATTGGTACTAACGGTCAATCCAACGTGTGTGTTCCTTTAAAAATGTTTGCTGGATTCTTTGAAGACTTTAGGAGGATAATAGTTAAAATGAGGCAAGAAATAGTCTTAATAAGATCTAGTAATGATTTGGATGCAGTAACTAGCATAGATGTTTCAGAAAAACCCAAAGTGGAGCTTACAAAAGTATTTTGAAGAGTTCCTCACATAACGCCAAGTATTCAAGAACAACTTCGAATCACGAAAATTACTAATGAAAGTATAGAACTTTCAATAAGGTTAAGGTGCTGGAAGTTGATTGAGTATCCATCTTTGAGTGGATCGAATAGACATACGTGGCCAGTCAAGGCCACTACCAAGGTCAAAACACCTAGACATGTAATTATAGCATTTCAGACTAGTGAAAAAGGAAAAATAACGAGTGATATGAGTAAGTTTGATCATATCGACCTCACCAATATCAGAGTGTTCCTTGGTTCTGAAAGATATTAATACAATGATTTACATCTAGATTTCAAGAACAACAAGTATGCTACACTGTATGAGATGTACTCAATCTCAAGAAAACTACTATCATCTGAAAAATAACGAGCCAATATCGACCCTGAAAGAGTTCAAAGATAAAGCACCAATTGTTCACATTGATTGTTCACGACAGAAAGAAGTCATCCAAACAGGATCAATAGTTATGCGGGTTGAATTCGAAACTGGTAGTGAAACTCCAACAGCAACCACTGTTTCCTGTCTCATTCTACATGAAAAAGAATATTCCCATAACCCTCTAACGAAAATCGTGAAGCAGCTTCGATGCGCATGATCAGAATTTTTCATATATTGGGGAACCCATTATTCTTTATTCAGTAGATATAATGTTATCTAGCTATAAATTACGCCAGAGAAAACATCAAGAAAACATTAAGATCCTAAAAAGGGTGATAGAAGTGTACTCTACCAAGCAATCAGTTCTTAAAAATTTCTCAAATATCTCAATATGGATATTATCATGGATGTGCAAGGATTCAAGATAGAAAACAACAAATTCATTGTCAAGGAGTTTGCAGTCTTCGATGGGGTGAAAATTTGCCATTTTATTTTCAAACCACCATTTCCACTGAATTTTTTACCTCCGAATCTACAAAAGCAGGCTGATTGGTTGGTTCGTAATTTTCACTGCCTGGAATGGAAGGATGGATTTATCCCATTACATCAGTTCAGAAATATCTTGAAAAAACTGAGTGATGGAGTCGATCTAATACATATCAAAGGGAAGGAGAAAGCTGGATATATTCGATGGTTCACTTCTGTTCCAGTAGTTGAATTCGATGAGCAACCTATTTTACAACAGTCTGAACCGCAATGTTTCTATCATATGAATTCAAATAGCATGTGTTCATTGAATGATGTTTTTATTTGTATAAAAAATGAATTTGTTTCGTTTCATTCATAGTTTAATGAATTGTCTGAACATCTGGTCTTCAATGCAGTCGTGACGCATTTGCACATAAAAATACCAGATGTTTGTTTTCGCAAACATGTGAGTAGCAGATGATTCATCTCTGAATGCAGGTGGCAGATGTTCTCTCTGAATGCGGGTATGACGTGTTCACAAAGATATGCACCAGATGTTTTATCCTCATTTCAGACTCGTCTAGACATCTCGTTTCGATAAATGCGGGTATGACGTATTCGCTGGTTAATAGATGACTCATCCGCAAAAACATGCGGGTAGCAGATGCGCATGCCGTACCCCTCTACTGAATTATATAAAATCGGGTTAAGGTCGATGTCATCTAGTTCAGTCTCGAGCCTCAGTCCCAAAGCTTCTTCAGATAAATTGAGTTCAGTGATAATGAAGTGCGGATATTGTGGCAACGTATTTTCTTCAACGAGATCTTTATCCCAGCATTTACGCAAAAATTGCAAAAATAATGGAGAATAGAATGGACCGCCAGCCAAAGAGATGAAGTACAATAATGCAGAGGATCAGCAGGCATCTACTCCGACCAACACATTGTTCAACTATTTTCCTCAGCATAATACTCAGGGTGTTGAAAAACGAAAACGAGTAGATCAATTTGTTGAAAATAATTTGGGAAATGGGATTGTGAAACTCCGTTGTGCTCTCAAGAATAAGATAGCCACCTATCGATTTTTCAGTGGAAAAAGCCACACCGACCTTCTCGAATTTTTGCAAGAAGTGAAACCAGAAGTTCTGGCAATCTTGTCCAAATATTTGGACACGCATCACAGCTTGAAGATAAATTTGAAACTTTTTGGATTGTATGTCATACCAGAGAAGGAACGATCTGATATCAAGTCCTTCAATACCAGAAATGAAACATTTACAATATCATCAAACATTGAATGCGATTATGATGACTGCAAGGAAGAATTGATTGTGAAGGCGTCAGAATTTCAAGAACGTGATTCTGAGTGGATATTGAAACATGCAATGTTTTGGAATGTGAAAATTAATAAATTCTCATCAATTTCGTCCTCTTCGTACATCAAGCTGCCCAGAGGAATAGAATCCAAACATGCGGTTTTGAATATACAAAACAAAGATAGAGCCTGCTTCGCATGGTTCATCAATGCTGCGATCTTTCCTGCAGACGGTATTTCAATTAGAACGTCATTATATCCACATTACAATAACCTGTCGAATTTTCAAGGACTTGACTTTCTCATGGAATTGAAGGCTATCCCAGAGTTCGTCTTTTGAGGATGGAAAGATGATAAGTGAAATAATTGGACCTTTACATTTTACATCGTGTCGCCAAGCAACACATGTGAATTTGCTACTTGTGGCCGATGAGGTTGGCAACACACATTATTGCCTAATGAAAGACTTAGGCAAATTAGTTAGGAAACTAAAATCGAAATACAATGGTGAAATAAATATTTGCGATGGATGCTTACAATCGTTCGCAACACTGGTGCACTTAAGCATTCATGGGGAAAATGACTGTAATCATACGATCACAAAAATACCCAACACCAATTTGAAAATCAATAAATATGGTGAGTCAGTGCCTGAAAATATCCTCAAATTCACTAACTTTGAGAAACAATTGTCACCACCGTTTGTGATTTATGTTGACTTTGAAAGTTTACTCAAACCAATTCATCACAATGAACCCTGTGACGATGAATCATTTTCAGTTAAAGTATGTGAACATGAACCATATTCGTTCGCGTTTCATGTAAAATGTAATTTCGATGACCGTTGATCAAGGTCGGTACTTTATCGCGGTGCAGATGCTGCTGACGTTTTTGTGAGGAAGTTGTATGAAACCGTTCAAGATTCATACACGAATCACATGAAGGATGTTCGTGGCATGCGACCACTTACTGAGATAAAAAACCAAACTGTCCAAAATAGCACCACGTGTCATATTTGTGAAAAGCCATTCAAGCCAACAGTTATCGAAGATCGTGATCAGTGCCACTATACAAGGAAGTTCCGCGCAGCCGCCCTTTCTATTTGTAATTTGAACTACAAGACCTCAAAGACTATTCCAGTATTCTTCCACAACCTCACAAATTATGATTCTCATCTTTTCATCAAGGAATTAGCTAAGAAGGGAGAAAGAATATCCAAGTCAGTATTGGTTGTTGAATCTGAATTGTCAAGAGTATCTGATGAATATATTCAGATGAGATCTGAAGACTTCCTTCGATTTGACCAAAATCTCTCTGCAAACTCAACAAAAATCTAGAGGTTCAGCAGTGTAACGAGGTTCGAAAATACTTCCAAGATAACAAACTATTCGATTTAATAAGCCGAAAAGGGGTTTTTCCTTACAAATATGTGGATCATCAAATTAATTTCATAACAAAAAAAACTGCGGTCAATTTCATATCTATTTTCGAAAGTCAAATGCATACTGAATACTAATGAACTCTTATCGATGTACTATGCGTTAGTACAGTCACATCTAACATATGGTATTCTCGGGTGGGGAGGAGTGTACTCAACCACATTGAGACCCTCTAGAGACAATTCAGAAAAGGATAATAAGAATAATATTCAGTATAAATATGCGATCCCTCACAAATACTCTATCCGCAAACACAAGAAATCTCAGTGTAAGGAAACTATTCTACAAAATATCCACTCTATATATGGCAAAAAATAATGTATTCACCAACTGCATAGATCATCATTACCCAACCCGCCTGAATATAAACTGTAATATTACTATTTCACGAACATACAAACCGATAGGACAAAGAACTTCCACATATGTAAGCATGGAAATATATAATGATATGCCATCAGCATTGAGAGGAAAAATCGAAAAAACAAGTTTCAAGAAAAACCTAACAAACTGGCTACTCGATTCCAATCAAATTCACATGAACTGATATACTCACTCATACCCCTTTGTTGTTCATTTTCTCTATGAACATTGATACCAATAGATTTAGTTCATTGTTACTTTTATCATATATTTTATATTTAACTTAGAAAAATGAATGGAATAACCGAAGAAAGGTAGGAATTATCTAACAAAAAAAAGCAATCTACATGTATAGGTCTACTAATCAATCCGAACATATTCATTGTTCTTCATGTAATTCATAGGTCTCTTTAGGAAGACTGACAAATCACCAGATTTCAGTCATCTAAGGAGACCTCCAACTAGAATCATTAAAATTAAGTATTACATTCTCAACCCACCATTCTATATTCATTTATTCATATAAGGATCATAATCATGTGAAGCAGCTACTTATTTGATAAATAAATATTATTATTATTATCATTATTATTATTATTATTATTATTATATGAATGAACTCATCGAACCCTTTGCGGTATCTACTCGAGCTCAATGGAAAATCTTTATCGATGACAAGAAATCCGAATTCTTCGCCCCAGCAGAGTGCGCAAAGTTCTTCAAATTGTTGAAACGACATCAATCAATTAACTTCGTTTGGCATTATTTTCTTGATTGATGCATTTGATAAATTCAGGTTGATGTTTTGATTTTGTTGATCTGTTATGTTATCTCGCTTTACGTCAATTAGCTGTCGGTCATGACACCATGTCAACAGTGTCAAACTTATCATGCGCCAATCGCCGATTCGGATTGATTCATCGCCGAGCCAACTCAGCCCAAGGAGAGTAGAGTTTATTATCCTTGAATTCAGCCGAGTATTCGTGAAGAAGGTGTGACGTCATTTAAGTCATCAATTCTGATTGGTTCAGATAGTCATCTGGGAAGAATCAAGTCTCTGGAGGGAGTAGCGATGACGTCTTTCATTTTGGATATTCAAATTTTCCGCCAATTGGAAAAGCGGAAACTGTTAAGTTGTTCTCGAAGTTTCTGGAAATTTGGATAAGGGATTTCCTTTCTGGTCGTGAGACAAGAGCTTACTTCAGAAAATTCTTCGTGGTGGTCAAGTGCCATTTTTGTGGTGTGAACCGGCTTCTGAAGTCCTGTACCGCCTGGCGTTCTGGATCACATCAGGATATCCTGGATTTGCTGCTGATCTACAAGGACTGTTGGACTCTACAGATTTTTCTGGTTTTGGTTTAAGAGGCAGGATCTTCATGGTTCATCACCCAGGCAGCCACGTGCCTACCTGCATCGTCATTACGGCCATTTCAATCCCCAACCCTTCATAGAAGGTGAGTCTCGCTTTATTTCCACGATTTTTCTCTCTGCAGTCCAGAAATTCAGAACCTCATTTCATGAATTATTTGAGAGTTTTTTTACCAGGAGTTCTACAACGGGAGTTATCCTACCAGGAGCACTATTTTTTCCAGGAGTCATTGCTCGACCAGGATCTGTTAATTCTACAAGGCCTTTGGTGGCTATATAGTAGTCTGGAATCTGGAATCTGGATATCGTCCCCTGTTTGTTCCTGATATGATGGATTTTCAAGGTGGAAATACGACAACTCTGTCAATGTCATCTGACATCCAGGGATGTGAAGTCAGCACCCCGCTCTCCGCCAATCTTCCCCTCAGAAGCTTCAGTTGGTGGCACTGAAGCCATTTTTATCAAGGATAACTGGTGTAGGACACACCATACAGGTTTTTGACATGAAAATATATTTTTATTTTTCATTTTTATTCACTCATATTGCCAATTGCTAGTGTGTATGATGGATCATTTTTAAATCATAACCAGGTCATGAATTGATGAAATCACACATGAAAGGTACATACTTCCCCTCCACATAGTATACTATGCGCTGGTAGAATTCTTCCATTTTCAATATTTTTTTCAAATCTTCCATGACTATAAAACGTCCTTACAGGAGCTCTTGAGTTTTCAAGTACAATATAAAGTTGATTTATATATATTTTCATCCACATAATAGCAGGCAACAGTGTAATTTCTCAACAGGAAATAGGTATCTAATATTCTTTTGATTTATGCATATTTGTCAAAACCATGTGATGTGATATATGAGTCCTATCATCATAATCAA